ATTTAAAAGAACCAATTTTATTCAGTTTTCCCTCCCTACTCTTAATTCTATTCTGTTCCAGATTGGCCTAGTTCCATTAAAAGACAATTCTTCCGCACTATTCAGTTATCAAATCAAATCTTTAAAGCATTATGTTATCTGGTGGAATTACCGTTCTATAACACTTTTGCTGCATTTGAGTTGAATTTAGCTCTGCATTAAAAATGCAGAAAGGGAAGTTCAAAAGAAAATAATGGTTGCATTTGCTTAAGAATGGCTCATTTCAAATAACAGCTATGAGAGTGATCACATATTAACCACCCAAACTCCATTCTTACATTAAGTTCTTTTTTCCCTAAAATCTCAATTAAGGAAACTCTTAATTATGGAGTTATTATTTCACGAAAATAACAAAGGACCTAATTGTATGACAGATAAAAATTTTGAAACCTCCAGTAAAGCAATATATTCATGAAGCACTCAAAACTGCCCAACTTGCAATCTTAATCAAAGACCAAGCGGACAATTTTGATTTGACTCTGAAGTCATGCATGGTTGTCTGTCTGCATGGTAGAACTCATAAAATGGAGTGAAGATGACTACAGATACTCAAATTAGATTCCACCACAACATGGCAATGGCTTCATATTGTCAAGACTGATGGGATGAAGAAGCAAACAACAGTTGGGATTGACAGGAGCTATAATTTAACAGGTTTGGAAGATGCCAAGTTAGGAAAGCTGTTCACCACCTATCTTCTGAAAGTGGCATCATGTTACAACTTAATTACAGCTTAAAATCTTTGCATTATCTTTCCATTCAATTTCAGTCAGATCCCATTATTTACTCTCATAATATGGAACTCTTGTTATAAAAATTGCAGTTATACTTAATTAGGATGGAGGAAAAGGGAGAATCTGATAGGATTGACAACGTCCTGACCACCAGTAATGAATTCCAGATTGTGTTCCTATGCATTAAGGTAAGACGTAGCATAATTACTATCATGTTGAACCAATTCTAATACTGCTGAATAATAGGAAGAAAAACTGATTCAGACTAAATGGACATAATTTGCTGTAATGTTTAAATAGTTGTTTATATGCAGATATATGTAATAATATAGTGACTTCTTCATTCATTTGCCAATATGGGTAGCATTTGGAAAAGTTACCACTTTTGAGCAAGCATGTTTTTTTAAAGTATATTTAGATAATATGACTTTGCACAAAAATAATTCTAAACTGAAGTCCAGTAGTCAATTTTCCTAAGCTTATTTCATGAATATTACGCATCACTGTTAAAAATTATACATTTAAAATTTTACAGATTTTTTTAGAAACTCTATTTAAAGGCACTTGCTATTTGAATTAAAAAAAAACATTGCTTGCAATATGCAATACAGTTTTAGGAATGACAAAAGCTTTAAATACATTAAGAGTATTTTTTAAAACAAGCATGTGCTCCTTTGACTACTTGCTTTGAAGGAACCCTTATGGAGATTCTGAGATTTCTCCAAAGAAAGTGGCCAAGATCCTGCAGCCGTTTTGAAGTATTTCTCTGATGAAAGTAGATATTATGGGCAATTCATGTAAGGTATACAATATATACTATATGCACAATGAATCATAAAACACAAGCGTCTTCTAGCCCTCACCCTACAAATACAGGTAGTCCACGACTTGCGACCACAATTGAGCCCAAAATTTCTGTTGTTAAATGAGTTTTGCCCCATTTGACGACCTCTCTTGCCACAGTTGTTAAATGAATCGCTGCAGGTGTTAAATTAGTAACACGGTTGTTAAGTGAATAACAAGTGACTCTGCTTGTCAGAAGGTCGCAAAAGATGATGACATGACCCCCGGAACACTGCAGATATCATAAATATGCGTCAGTTGCCAAGCATCTCAATTTTGATCCCTTGACCATGGAAATGCTGCAATGGTCATAAATGGGAAAAACAGCTACTTTTTTCAGTGCCATGGTAACTTTGAATGGTCACTTAAATGAACTGTTGTAAGTCAAGGACTACCTGTATAGAACAAATATCCCATCATAAATGCCCAAAATTTACAATCTCTAATCAGTAATATATAATATTGTAAGCATGAAAGAAATTGCAATTACGGATATGCATTGATATACGTGTGCCCTTTCATCTTATTACTCTGGATAGGAATAGTGCATACAACTTTGACATCCTTTCAGCAGATGTTATATCTTGTGTAATTACAGAAATAGCACCCTCCACGTATAGGTGATAAGCCACCCCTTGTAGTATGCCCTTGCAGTAAAAGTAGACCTTTGCCAGATTATACTGTTAGTCATATCAATTCTCCTCTTCAGTGTAAGACAAGACTTCAGTTCTATAATAGATCTCTACAGAAAGTCACTAGTTGTACTGACAACTTAAAATAGTTTGTTTATTAGCAACATCAGCACTTTGGTTTATAGAATAGATTTAAGACTCTGAAAAGAACATTTCTCCTCTTTGTGTACTGGAAAATCTCAGCAATGTAGAGAATGGACTGCTTGTAAGATTCTTTTAGCTTGGGATGTTTTACTTCAACCCTTGACTTGTTTATACTTTTAAGCAAAGAATGAAGATGAGAGACAAGTTGGCAGGGGCTGAACTTTGGTCTGCATTTCCCATCTTAGCATAAGGATTTGCCTTAACAATAATGTCGTTTTCCATTAAGTGGAAGTTTATTGTTTAATAGCATCAAGACCTGGGATTCCCAGCTTCATACAGAAACACTAGGAAATACTGCGTAGCCTAGTCTATTACCTGTAGTTCCAAGAGAATTGCATTTATAAGAGTCTCTAGCAAACATTATTTCTCAAGGTTCATGACAGTTAAGCCACTATAAAACCGAAAACTGCTTGTAATATAGATAGGTTCTCTGAATGGAGGAAAAAACTCAAGACTGTTGCTGAAAGATTAAGAAACAGTTTCTGTTGGTGGAGGTTGTTTCTGTTTTACAATGATGAGATCATGTCCGAACTGAGCAATGTAACCCTAAAGAACCCCAAAGGCTTAAATAATTAAGTGGTTCCGATTCCAACATAAACGTGTGCAGAATTGAGCCGTGCCAAACAAACATACATGATCAACGAAGTTGGAATGTATCAGTAATTCATATGTATTCTTTTTTTTTTTTTTAAGACAATTGATGGAACTGATAATCCAGAGGTACCGGAAACGGGGTCAGACAAATTAGAAAATAAATCAGCAACATGCCTTCAGTACCAATTGAAGGGGGTCAACAATGGAAGGGCCTTCTGTCCTCCTGCTCTGGTGGGAATTATACTGAATATCACTCTAGGAAAAGAACATGGGTATTGACAGGTCTGACTTGGGAGGCCTCCCCCTTTTAAGAAAAAGAGCACATGAGATTGCAACACGTATAATGCGGAAGCTGTTTTTAACTAGGTTTATGAAGATTTCATTTTTTTGGTCATAGATCGGATGCTTAGTTTGGTGAACCTACCAGGAAAGACAAATCTAGACACTCGGCAAACACTAAATGTACTGTTTTCAAGTCAGATTCCTTGTGAAGGTGCTTGTTAAATAGTGGGAGCAGAAACCTTGCCGTGGACTCTGTGGGATACGAGAAAGAGGGTAGAATCAAGTCCACTCCATACTTAGTTTAGCTACACAAGCGCTTAACATCCATTTGTTCAGTAATCATTTGAAGTTACAACAGCTCTGAACAAAGCAATTTGTGACCGGTTCTCAAAGTTTCAATTGTTGCAGCTCCCTCAAGTGAACAAAATTTGGGCCCACCTCATTTTATAACCTTATCTGCTGCCACCAGCTGTTCTATCACCCAGCCCTGCCCGCAGTCATGCATGCTGCACCATGGCCCACTCCTATATTGGCAGAGAGCTTCTTTTGTGCCAGTTCAACCGGGGCTTCTTCACATGCCACAGGACCTCCGTTCATGTCCTGCACATGGCTTCTATTTGTATAACAGCCAGGGCCTAAATCTGTGCCACACCCTAGACCTCCATTCCTGCCCACCCAGGGTCTCTATTTGTGCCCTGCCCAGAGCTCTAGCTGGTTTTTTTTTTTTTTTCCATGTGTCAGGCTTCTTTTACAACTTTTGGCCATGATAGAAAAGGAGATAAGGGTATATAAATTTGAGCCTATTCTTCTTTCCCATTACAATAAACTAAAAACTTACTATGATGCTTGACTGCAGTCACAAGCAATTAGTTGTGAACACCTTGCATACCTTTAATACTAATCCACCTAGCAATTTAATGATTTGATGATAGATGTTTAAGTGCAAATTGCATCTGTAATGACCAAATTCAGGGAAGACTTATTCCACATGTAGACATCTTTCTGGATTATTCTCTACAGTGCAGAGCTATGTTTACATTTTCTTCGTAACATACTGGAAATAAATCCTTCTGAACTGAATTATTTCTCTCCAACCAAGCATGAGTAATTGAGTAGACTAAAAATTCCTTAAGTCACGACTTGCATGACTTTGTTTATAATTGATTTGCATGCTACATTTTCATGGAAAATCAAGTCCAAAATATTTCACAACCACACATTTGTCACTTCATGGGAATCTAGGATGCTGTACTTTCTTAAGAATGAGAGAAGCAGAGGAAATAATTAATAGAATTTTTAACCCTCCCACTCAGTTAAATTCCTATAATTCTTTGTGGGACACCAGGACAAAGAAAAAAAAAACCTTATTAAAAAAACAGCATAAATTTGATCTTTCCTTCTCTTTGAAATTATAATTAGATGCACCCTTAGATAATTATGAAGGTATTCATGATAGATTCATGATAGAAACTATTTTGTGCAAAATCGTATCTGGTTGCAATTTGCAGAGACTTACTAATATAGATTTAGGAATCAGTGTTTAACATACAAAAGGAGAGATGAAAGAAAAGATTCAGTGTCAGAACATAATCTTCAGACTCATGTTCTGATTATAACTAAGAATGCTAAAGATGGAGTCAAGAGACTCAAAAGAAATTTAAATAAAACTGAATCCTAGCTAAAGTGCGATTTTAATTCAGTCTTTTAAAGAACAGGTTCTATTGCCAGCAATAGCAGCATAGGTTTGATGAGCACAGAACAGTCATCAGCGAAGAAGTATCTTTTATCAATGATCGGTTACTTTGCTGTTTTGCTATAAAGAAATCCCAAGGACAGGGCAATCTGACTTGCAGAAGCCACAATTACCTGACACTAGGAAATAAACAAGATAAAGAACACTTTTTTTCAGTTTTAAAGCATTTAGGTGATTTTTGAAAAGCAGAATAGAAAGAATTCCAGTTGCTACAGCAACCATAAATTATTCTACTTAAATATGTTACCTAAATTATTTATTTTTTAAAGATGATTATCTTCGTTTGAGCTAGGGCATTTTTTAAGGCAGATGTCAGCAATTTGATCTCAACAAAGCAGAGTAAAAAGTAGAGACATACGAGGCCAAAATTAAAAAATAAAATTGTAAACATGGAAGTGGGTGGGGTAGAAAAAGAAAGCTTATATAAATATAAACATTTACATGTCATACATATATTCCAAAATGATCCATATATAAAATGTCAAAATACATCAAAATAAGATAAAGACTTGAAGGCATATTAGTTATGTACAAGGCATTTGGCAGAAAGTTTGTACTGAGTACTGAGAATATTATTCAGCCTTCATCTGTTCTCTAACATCCAAAGGTAGAGTTTCAAATAAGGTGTCTTCAACCACAAGTCCACCCTTTTTAAGAGCTCTGCAGTCACCAAGTTCATGGGGAAGAAACTCCAGGTGATTTCCTTTAATGTCCAAGTAGGATAGCGACACTAGATTTCCAATTTTAGGTGAAAGAATAGACAAGTTATTTTTCCCAATCTTCAGTGTCTTGATTTTTTTGCAAAAGTACAGCTCATCTGGCACACTCTCTATTTTGTTCCAAGAAATGGAAAAATACTGTAAACTTTGTAGAACCCCAATTTCAGGGGGGATGAATCGTATGTCATTGTTAGATAAATCTAAATACCTAATTTTGTTGCACAGGAAAAGGTGGGATGGGAGAACCTCTATCTTGTTGTGACTAAAAGAAAGCCGTTCTAGACTGGTGAGCTTCTTTATGTGCTCAGGGATATAGGTTATACTGTTGTGCCATAACTTTAGGATTGTAAGTTTTCTAAGGTGTTGAAAGCTAACAATTTCCTCTATAGATTTCAGATTGTTTTCCTTGAGATCCAGCTCCTCAAGAGCGTTAAGGCTGAAAACAGCATGAGGAATGCGCTCCAGATCACAGTGCACCAACTCTAATTCTGTCAAGTTGACCATTTTTTTCAGGTTGTTGAGCATTACTAGTTTAGTGCCATCATTATGAATGCACATTTTTTGAAGGTGACTTGAAACATCAACTACAGACTGTGGGACTTTGGACAGGTTGCTTTTAATCTGCAGGACTTTAAGGTTCTTCAGCTCTCGAAAAGACTCCAAAGTTATATTTTTAGAAATGTCGTGGCATAAAGAACCAATTAAGCTCAATTCTTCTAAATTTCTGAGCCCGTACATCCAAGGTGGAAGTTCTCTGAAGTCATCAAACTTGACATTCAAGACTTTCAGGTTTTCTTTTAGAAATGCCAAGGCTGCACTATGAATCTTTGCAGAACACTGGTATAGGGAGAGCTCTTGGAGATTGATGAGTTGCACAATGGTAGCTGGTATCATGACATTATTAATAATTTCAAGTTTCAAGGATTGAAGCTCTGTAATTTCGAAGACTGTATCAGGAAGTCCAGACAGCATAAACAGTTGCAGTTCCAAACGGTTATGGGCATTCGTTTGCAATCTTTGCCTGAGTTTATCGGCAGTCCACTCATTGTTTAAATTCAGCTGCTTCAGTTTGTTTTCACTGACCTCTGAAAGAAATACAGCAAATCTTTTCGAGTAAAGAGGATCATACTGGTCTATCATGTGGAGCATAAAAGCAAAGTCATTCCTGACATCTGGGATATCATCAATTCCAGTCTCTTGCCGGACGTACTCAAATGAATATTCTTTCAGAGAGCGGTAAAACAGCCAGTACAAAGTGTAAAGGCAAGTCAGTCCATAAATACTTACAAAGCATAAGTAGCAGAATGAGAGTTTAGAAAAAAGATGTGCCATTGTATGATTGCAAGAAAAGTGCTTATATCCTGTCATGTCTTGAATGTCAACATTGCAATCTACTGTAAACTGAACTTTTGAAACAAGCGCACTGTTATATGCAATAATAATAAGAAACTTGATTACTTTCAGCACTGTTTGGCGAACATACATAGCATATAGTAGGTCACCTTCCTCAACATGGAGACGGAATTTCTTCACTTTCTCAAATAATGCTTTAGCTTGTTCTCCTTCTTTTTTATCCAACGCCCCTGGAGTTCCTTTATCCACAATGAATTTTTCAGGTATGGATTTTAAGGACTGCGTCTTGACCAAATTGCCTTCTGTGCTAGGCTGGACCGTGTTTGACCGGCTGATGTTGTTCTTCCTGTTGTCTTTCTCCTCAGAGTCTTCTCCAGAAACCTCTGACAAAGCCCTTGTGGTCCAAGGAGAGTCAAAACATTTCCCCAGAATGGAAATGAAATGTTCAATTTTTGAGCTGGACCCTGGGAACTTGAACCAAAAGTTGCTACATAGCATGAAGATCAATGTGTGTATAAGGACAAGGTATGGAAAGTACTTTGCATACCAATGCAAAGCACGCTCGTAGCACATTTGATTTATAAAGCTGTACTGCTGGAGATCTAAGTCAGTCTTTAAGCCCTTCATTTCAACAGTGGCAGGAGGTGTGGATGGCTTGGGTGGAAGGAACTGAGCTGCACTGGAATCCATATCTGATATATTAAGGTGAGATATATTCGGAGAAGGCTGGACTCTTTTGGGAAGGCATATGATCTTATCCTGCATCACCTGAAATGCACACAAACAAAAATTGTATTTTGAAAATACATTTTGAGGCAAGTTTCTCTTTTAGCGAAGGAAGAAAAGGTCAGACACCTACAGACTTTGAAACATCTCTACCTATAAAATTTCTAGATTTGGAATATAAATCATGCCACCTCCATAATCACCAGAAGTTCTGTAGACCTCAGTTGTGTGTAAAAATGATAACTACAGTGCTGTTATATTCTTCTGGCCACCAACATTTCAACCTGACCATCTGTTTCAAAGGCTATTTATCCTTTTCACTTGGTGTTTATTGTTGAACTAAATAACCATACAAAAGAAAATCACAGTATTATAGATTTTATTGCATGTATATATTTGTTAGCCTGTTCCATTCAAGGCAGGTAATAGATGTTTTCCCTCTCTTGCAATATATATTGCTATCCGAAGTTTGCAAGTCTCCATTTCACTGTGGGAAAGGAGACATAGAAATATGGTGGCTTAAATATTAAAACATATAGAAATACAGATGCACCTTTTAGTAAATTTGGCAGATAATCACAGCCTGAGTTTTCAGACTGGAAGCCTGGATGGTTTGAAAGGTATAAGATTTCAAGCCATAGGCAAAAAGTTAATATTTTTCTCTAAACCATGTTTTTCTGCCATGAATAATGTTTTGGAACATATTTCCAACTGTATTTCCTAAAACTAGAATCAGTTTGGGAGGACTGACTAATAGCATAGATCAGGGCTTTTGAAATATTTTATATTCCACTATATTCATGCAGAATAAAAAATTCCAAACCATGAGCCTCTGTATTTGGGTGGCATGAGTCGCTTAAAGGCCCCCTTCATAAAATCTAGCATTTCAAAAGGCACCCATGTTTACTTCCAACGGAAAAATTGGCCATAGATAATTAAATCTTTACAATGAACAGCAGCTTTGCTCCTTTCTCTTCTGTAGCTGTATCACTTCCCATCTGGGCATTCCGGCAGCCTGGGAGAAAAAACGGCATGCAAACTATGTCTTGTAGTTGCTTAGCAACAAGGAAGCAAATCACAGGGCCTTCTCTTTACCATCAAAATGGCCAGATGGGTGTTCCAGATTGTTGTTATGGGCATCTCTTCAACTGCCAACAGGGGCATGCATTTGTATATTCATTAAACCCTACATTTATTTGAAGTAGAGCATGAAGCTAACCCCGATAGTTTAAGGGCTAGGCCTCCTTAACTTCAACAACAGGAATGGACTGCCAGACCAACCTATTAAAAGCAGCTGTAATTACACTTTGCTCTATTGCTCTATGCCCTCCCAAGCCTCATAATAGATGGGACAAATGAGGTAATCTTGCAGAGGGAAAGGACAATGAGCTATTCTCCATCAACCTTTAGGAAATATACAAGTCAAAAGGTCCATGTAGTGGCTTAAATATTACCAGTTCCAGTGTTAACAAAATTTTGTTTTAGACCAGTTCTATCTCTGCACCCATATGGTGCAATTTATCAAAAGAAGGATGATTGTGAATTTAAACTGACTTCCAACCTCAAAAATAAAGATGAAAAATCCATCTGCTTCCAATATTATATTCTCAATATAAGATGGCCCTCATATTTTAAGGGGAAAATATTAGGGTGGGGGAAGTTTTAGTTTTCTTTTTAGGTAAACAGAGAACTGCAATGCCCAATTACAGAATGTTTGAATACATACAAGTGTTTTCAAATTCTTTGTTGTGGACCACAATACTCTGCAGAAAATAATTCTTTATATTAAACAATTAGTCCCACAATCAGTAATAAGGATACTGCAAATGACGCATTGGTCTGAATTTCTGATATGATCTGAATAATCACAGATTTGTGCCAGCAAAGCAGCTTTGTTTGCAGAAGAGGAAATGAGCAGCAGTATAAATTCAAAAATTGGCTTTCTTGCTTGCTATTTTCCTGAGTTTTACTCATTAGCACACTGTAGCTCAGTGGTCCTCAACCTTTCTAGTTCCACCAACTGGTGGCAGGGAAGGAGAGGGGATGGTTTCGCATATGCATGCCACTTGCATTAATACATCTTCAAACACACACTTGCCCACTGTTTGCATGGCCCGGTTCCTAATGGGCTCTGATCTGGTTCTGAGCCATGGCCCGGAGTTTGGAGACCCCTGCTTTAGCTTTTTTACCCAAATTACAAAGTCAAAACAAAGCAAACCACATTAAGTCTTGATCTGATATGTGATATGGTACAATGCTGTTGATGATGTATTTTCCCCAATATCTGTTAATATTGTACCTGCAATTTGTATCTTGCCATGATAGCCATGCTTAAAGATTGCAGGAGGCAAAACAGTGCATTCTCAGGTAAAGGAGCATGACAGAGTGCTGTCAGGCACAAGCAACAAGGGCCACTAGTGAACAATCTCAAACAGAAACTTTACTGTCAGTCCCCTATGTTACAAGAATCTTGCCAGACTAATTGCATTCCCTTGGTCAGATAAGGCTTCAGGGATTTTGTGCTGCTTTCTACAATACAAGGACTCCAAGCTTGTCCCTCTCTTAGCATGTCCTTCCAGTCTAGCTACAGATTCCACAAGGACAGAAGAAGACATCTGGATCTCTAATTTAGCTCCAAGTCATTGACACCAGGACCTTACATTCAGAGTTTTTATTTAATAATATTTCTACTCTGGCTGTAATATTATGCCAAACCGGATTATCAAATTCCACCTACTCTCTCTGTTTGCCGTTTCCACTACCTCTTGCTCCCAATGAATAATTTTGTTTGCATCTCGGAAACAATTTACATGGACTCTGCTGATCATGGTAATACATACACTGACTAGGAAAAGCCAGAAGTAGGAAGTTTAGTTAGCACTAGGCCTCTGGCCAAGAATACAGGCTTTTAGAGTCAAGAATTTAAGTCTTGCATATAACTGCTACTGACTGCCAATTCAAGAAAGACAGAATACAGTATGTGTGGAAGGAAAGAGAGAATAAGAACAACTTAATGCCATATATAGCATTTGAATGCTATTTGTATCACAAAAATTAAAAAATTGTTATGTTCCAGATTTTTCAACTTTGTTTTTAATCCACCAAATTGAATTCCTGTAAGAGAGAGAGAGGAAACACTCTGGAATATATGGTTTCAATATAAGGCAAAGTCCACAACAAAAGTCAGTGCAAAAAAGGCAAATTTATTATCTAGATCAGCGCCCCCCAACTTTTGGGTCCCAAGGATCGCTTCTGTGGAGAGAGATTTTTCCATGGACCGGAGGGGGCTGCTGCCTGCATCCCATAGATGGGGCTTCGGTTTTTTTGTGCGCTTCGGGTTTCTGGCATGTCGCAGACTGGTGCCAGTCCACAGACTGGGGATTGGGGGCCCCTGATCTAGATGACTTTGTCTTTGCAGAACGTTACCTTCAAAAGACTGTATTTTGCCTGTCACACTCCGATATAGATACACCACAAAATGGTGTAAATCTGGAAGGATATTTGGCAACAATGCACTCAGAACTTTTAAGATTGTCTGCTACTATAAAAACGGGTTTTAAACAGGAGATAGAAGGGAATACAACCAAGAATCAGGCTGCTTTGAATATTAATTTTAAAATGACAGGCTACAAGAAAGATATTAGCAAAGACTTTAAACAGGACTTACTGTACAAATGAAAGTGGCTGATGTTTTAATAGTTAAAAAAGAATCATAGATCAGAAGAGTAATTTGGATGTGTGGATTTCAACTCAGAAAAGTGACTTGGACAACTTTTTATTGTGGACCTACAAAAGAGATGTGTTATATTTATAAAGGAGTTTGTAAGAAAAGATAAAGAGAGAATGAAAAGAAATCAGTTACTTAAAAGGAATCAAGATTTTTAAAAGGAGGATCATAAAGTTGACTTTTTCAATCAAGGAATATATATATGTAATGTGTGGGTGTGTATGAAGATTTTTGTTGTTGTATTTTTTAGAGACAGTGATAAGCTATAGTGTTAAAATTGAAGGAGAGTGTTAAGCTTGAGAAGGAGTTTCTGAAAAGAAATACTGGAAAAATTATAAATTAATTTGTGGGACAGTATTTGAAGGAATTAAAGATCAAGATTTTCAATATGTTGTTGTTTCCATTTTAATGGAATTTTTCTTAAGTCTGAATGACAAGGCTTTAAGGATCTGTTTATAGAAATGCAATATGATATGGGAAGGGGCTTTTGTTGTTGCATTTTTAGAGAAAATTATAAATTACTGGGTTAATTAAAAGAAAGGAACTCCTTTAGGAAAGGAAAGGAAACAAGTTGGTTTACTTGTTTAAGATTGTGTGTGTTTCTGTGTCTATTAGTAACTGAATGGATTTTTGCTCATTGATTAATGAGTATTATTTGCTAATAGAGAAAATATGAGATGGGATAAAGAGATTTTTGGCTGAAATGTTAGAGAAATTAAAATGCTAAACTCTTGTGCAATTATCTTCATATCTGTTCCAATCTAAAGTGACTTATAAGAAATAACAGTGGAATGTGTTTTTTCTTTGTAAACTCCTACATAACTGTTATATTTTGTAAATCTTTAATACAATCTTTTCCCTTCTTTCCTTCAAATTATTTTTTTCTCATTCTTTAAATTTAAAAGAAAAAGTTATGTTCCACTCCCCTTCCCAAATTAGCACATACCAAGAGTATGAAATTTATTAGTTTTGATCTAAACATTTAGATCAAAAGGAAGATATCAGGGCCAAGCAAAATTGTATTAAATTAAATCAAAATAAAAGTAAATATTTACTACCTATGTATTCATTAAGTACCTTTTTTTGTCAGCTGGATTTAATCATGTAACAATTTTTAGAGTTGTTGGGGTTGCATACAAAGCCTGGAGCCGCAAACAACTCTGTGACCTCATTTCATTTTCATTTTTCATTTTATTAAATTTGTATACCGCCCTACTCCCGAAGGACTCAGGGTGGTGAACAGGCACGAAATAAAACACATAAATACAAAAGTTAAAACATGATTAAAACCCAATTAAATAATTTTTGCCCGAGACAATTTAAAACTCCCAATAATTTAAAACGAATTAAAATTTGAGTTTAAAAATTTAAAAGAAGGGGAAAAATTAGGCCAGGCTGGCCTGCTGGAATAGGAGTGTCTTCAAAGCACGGCAGAAAGTGCGCAGATCCGGAATCCTCCGTATCTCCGGGGGGAGCTCATTCCAGATAGTAGGTGCCCACACAGAGAAGGCCCTCCCCCTAGGGGCCGCCAGTCAACATTGTTTGGCTGACGGCACCTGGAGGAGCCCCTCTCTATGAGAGCGTACCGGCTGGTGGGAGCGTACCTCAAGCCGTACACTTGAAAATATTTTCCAATGTACTACAAATGTGTGGGCACAGGTTATGAGAACACTTCATTTGGACACACACATAACTCTGCCAAAGATTCATTATATGTAGAAGAGCAGGCAAAGCTGGGGGGCAGAGTTAAACGTAACACCAGTTTAGAGGCCTTGCATTACCACAAGAGATCCAACTCCACCTTCCTATGAATTTCATTGGCGCTTATCTAGCGCCAGTTAATGCTGACTGTTAGTTGACTAGATTTTTGTGTATAGGCTTCAATAAATTGGTTATGCTGCAATCTACACAATGGTCCTGGTTCTTTGTGACTGACTTGGATAGGATCAAATTTATATAATTTAAGTGTGATCAAATTATATAATGTCAAGTGTAAAGTAGGACAACCAGACCTTATATTAATATGATAGCTAAATAAAAAAGTATTTGTCAAAGCAAAGAATCAGGACTATTTGTAAAGTTGCAATATAGATTTATACAAACCTATGCACAAGAATCTGGTCGGCACTCAATTGATCCTAGATAAGAATTAAAGATTCTAAACTGATGACATGTTTAACTCCACCCACCACCTCTGCTTGCTCTTCTCCTATATCCTATTACTTAAATGACCACATGTGATTCTGGAGCCCACTACTCCAAAAGCTGAGCAACACTACTGCAAATTGGTCTGCTATGTTACTTGAGCAGATGAACAAATAATTCTAGTATCCATGATCTTAAAACCTTTTTTTTAACCAGCATTTAGAATTTGAGACACATCACAGTCCTGCTTCTATGGTATTATTCATTTTTAACTTGGAGTCCTGTTTATTTACCTGTAATGTGCAACCAAACACACCAACCATCAACATGGCAACAGAAAGATAGTCTGTAAATACATCCCACCATGGCTTCAAAACACGGAAGGCTGGCTGCTGTTCAGAGAATTGGCGGAATTCAGTGATAGGAATCATTGTTCTGAAAAAGAACAAAAGGGGGAATGTGTGAAATGGTTACTTTTTTAAATATGAAAAATAAGTTGCTGTTTTATTCAGTGCAACCCTAACATACAAACATACAGAGAGAGAGAGAGAGTCCGTCAGCCTAGACAACATTTTCTAAAACTTGGCATCTTCCAGAAGTGTGAATTTCAATTCCCCTAATTCTTAGCAGTGATGATATTGGGGGATTCTGTGCATGAAACACTATACATAAAGAGAGATGCCAGGCTAGGAAACGATAGTTTAGAAGTGGTGGTGGAATTTGAAGAACTAGGGAAGTATTAACGTTTCCCAAATTTCTTACTGATCACATGATCTCCTAGGGAATGATTGATTGCTCAAAGCCTCTTAAGGAAGGAATTCATCAGACACTGCTTCAAACCTGGATGTTCTTTCAATGACAAGATAAACAAATCAGTAACCAGAACATCTGTATTCTAATCTGTCTGACTAGGCTTCCACCATCAACCTCTTCTACTCCTTACTTAACTTTTACAAATTCCAAATTGTGTTTTCACTCCACTGATCGGCCTGAAGTACCTCATTTCAGAATCAAGTGCCAGCCCAACTGGGAAGAGTTCTATTAGTCATTTTGGTTGCAAGCCAAAAGTAGAAGTAATAAATGCTACATAGATAAGGATCAACAACAGGGTAGCAAATTTGTTTGGTCGTTGTTTTCTGCCAATTCAAAAATGAGTGAATAGCAATTTAACTCAGCAATAGGAAAGCCCCAGACTCTTCTTGCCCAACAGCTATAAGGGAAGAAGGCAAATCAAGAGCATACAGGACAGTCAATTAAGTTAGAAAGGAAGGAAGGGAGTTTCTTGGAAATATGACTGATGACTTAGGAGGAGCAAAGGGAAGGGAGCCAAGAGAATAAAAGCTTGGGACCCATTCTCTCTCTTTAACCATTAAACCACAATTTGAATAAACTACAACCGTCTGTGATCAGAGTACTAAGTCTTAAATTATGTTTTTCAAACTTTGCATTCAAAATTCCAAGCCAATCAGATAAACCACATTGTAGGTTAGACCCTATGTGTGGACATTCAAGAGAAAGGAATTCATATACTCAGAAAGAATTATTCATTTCTTAGTCTCCAATCCCACTCCCCAAAAGTAAATCTTAGACTCCACCCAAGAAATGCACAAATTATAGTGGTTTATGCTCATCAAGAAACAAACATAATTTCTTCTAGCTTTGCTTTCAGTCTTCCTATATTGTATCCTGAGCTGTTATTTTAAAATCTACCAGCCTAAAAAACTTTGGTACAGATAAAATTAGATTATATATAAACCGATGTTTTTTTACCCACTTGTAAATCTCATCATGTCTTCTGACAGAATAAGCTATATAGAAAAGCAGCAGGATCTTTTATAGTACAAACGTTGCTTCTGTCCTAATTAACCTGAATCTTCATATGGTAATTTTTTCCAAGATGACATTACAGTCCACTCTCCAACGGAGTAAACAGAAGCACAAACATGGTTAATGTTTGGTAATTAAAGGCCTGGAAGTAGGCTTAAGTCAGGACATAGTACTCAAATGGAGATGAGTAATGAGGAACTCCTGCACACACATATCTATCTTGATTCTAAAAGAGTTTTATCTTTGAATTCTGTTTTTCCCCCCAATTGGTCTTTGTCACATAAATAAAGAAAAGCTATGAAGTTGGTAGTACAGATGGCATTCCTTGAATAATGAAAGTATATGTTGAATTTCAAAAGATTGAGAGGGCCTATGCACCAGGATATATTGTAAGTTAATTCATTTACCTACTGCACATTGGCAACTCAGGAATCACTCCTGGATGAGGGTTTGAGATTGAAATAGGTTGAGTTGTAGTTAAAAAGTTGATCAGGAAGAACACAGAATAAGAGAAAGCGGTTGTATGAAAAACAAATTTCTAGCAATGGCACTAAATTCAAGTTAAAACCTATGCATCCTCAGTTTGCTTTATGCTAACCTGCATTATTAACAATTCCTTTATATGTATTTTCTTTTTGTGACCACAGTACTGCTATAGAATTCTTTCAGATGAGTTCAACTATCAGGCTCAGCAGTAAATCTCAGGTTCCAGGCATTTAATCCTTAATTCGGCTTTCAGCTAGACTTGGCAGAAAACTCCCGGACACAATTTAGCTAGAGTAGTCTCTTTATTGCAGACAAAAACACAACCACAATAAATGAGTAATACTGCAGTGCAAAGAAATCAGAGGCCTAGCTATCTATTCACCTATGATTCTTTTTCCCCACTTTGTAAAGTGACAGGGTACTTGATGGCTTGAGAAGATGGATGAGATATTAGAGCCAATCTGAAGCCCATAAACCACTGGTTTCTGCCTCTGCAGCCTCAGCTCTTATATATAGTCATTATACTATATTATACCATTTTGGCTAGAACTGGCCGAAAAATGGATTTAAATTTCTGTGGGGTTGCCCACAGTACCACTGTATACGTGTGAGATACACTGGGATCTTGGTTGATCAAAAATTTACTAAACTATAGTTTGCTACTCTTGCCTTTACTCTGAAACTCCCATTCTCATTACATCTGATCTTGTGTGACTGTTAAAATTGTCACAATCCCCCTTTTCTCTTTCTCCTGAGATAAACAATTTTCCATCAGCTCAAAGTCCTGAAATACTGCATCAAGATTTGGAAAGGACTTAGAAGTGGGTTATTTTGCAATCACACCCAATAATTCATGCAGTTATTGTACAACTACAGGTAATCCTTGATTTACAGCAGTTCATTTACTGACTGTTCAAAATTACAATGGCACTGAAATTTTTTACACTTTTTCATACTTATGACCATCACATGATCAAAATTCAGGTATTTGTCAACTGAGTTAGATTTTCGAAGGCTTCAGTGTCCCAGGTCACTTTTGCGACCTTCTGACAAGCAAAGTCAATGGAGAAGCCAGATTCACTTAATAACTGTGTTACTAACTTAATAATCGCAGTGATTCACTTAAAGACTTCAAGAAAGGTTGTAAAATGGGGCAGAACTCACTTAACAAATATCTCACTTAGCAACATAAATTTTGGGCTCAACTGTAGTCATAAGTCGACGAGTACCTGTTGAAGACTGTGGAAATTTTGTGCCATGGATCCCATTATGCCATTTTTTCAGGAAAATGTAAATTTTGTACAACACACACACAAAATCATCGCATGGGGACATAATACAAATTGTTGGCCACTTCATGAGCACTCTGTCAAATTTGTATACCCCAAGCATAGTACACCATTTGTACATAAAGAGTTATATATGCAAGCTTCCCTAAAGGATCTGCAAAGCCATCACTTCTGGCTTAATGCCTGAATTGATTTCAGAAAATCATTTGGGGATAGTTGCTAATTCGATGAAGTGGAAATTTTTGAATCCACACCAAAGTTATGATTCCACATAATATCAGGGGGCATAATTAAACCCATAAATGGAGTACTTTGTTCTTTGGGATTTTGACTCTAGGCCACAGGTTGAGGAGATTACATGACAAAATGTTCTTTCTTAACGAAGAAACAGAATGTGAAGGAAAAGCCGAGAGATTTTTATTGTCTACTTTTTCTGTCTACTGTGTGTGAATCATGATAGGTCTGCATAGAAGCAATCTGAAATAGTGTGGTCTGGTAATAGAAACACCACATTATTCATTGTTTTGAAGGACTGGTGGATTATTCTATGCATTTGAAAGCTAAATGGAGTCAATTACTTTAAATAGAAATGTAACAACGCTGTTAAACTTCAACAGAGCTGAAGAAATTTTTTGGATGCGAAGTGAAACGTTTTCAAAGAAAAAACAGATAGTCCAGTTGCCTTTTGAAAAAGCACCTTTGGGACAACCATGACCTGGATGACTGAGAATCTCCATAGACATTTAGCGATACACTTTGGGATGAACATAGTTAAAGCATTTATTCTTTTTAGTTTACACTACATATAAAAGATAGGTAGGACATACTCCAGCAAGAATAAAATGTCACTGGAATTTCTGGACTTCCCATTTATATAAAAACTATACGGTAAAGTATTTGTGCCCAAACACACTTTTTATTGCCTATCCCAACTCTGCCTTCCCTAACCAAATAATCTCTAATCATTTTAGTATTACAATCAATCTTACTTTTGAACAGATAGATTAATAATCACATTGTTGGCTAACACAAAGGTCATTTCCACACTAGGGATTTAGAGCATCTCCTACAATTGTTCAACTATTGTGCCAAAACAACAGCAGTGAAGCCAGGCTTTATATCACTTCAATAATGTTTGGGTGGTGCTGTGAAAACACTATAAACCACTAGTATGAAAATGAGCTACATTCTTAGAAACGTATAGAATCAGTTACTAAAAGGCACATAGCTAGATTACAGCAAGAAGTAAACATCTATGTTGCTTCTTGAGATGTAAGTTTTATTTTCCACTCAGATCACCTTTGCTCCTCTCTAGATTTATTTTTAAGACAAGGAAGAACCATTTACTGTAATAAGCAAGAAAAGTGATGTTCTGTAGGAAAATGTTCATTAAATACAAATACAAATATTTCTTTGTCTCAGTACATGGTTTATTTTTCAGAAGTTGCATGTCAAATCAAATGCTCGCATTTCTTTCAGGATGCCCTACAAATGCTATATAATGCTAAGGTGTCAGGCAACAATGAACCAGCCAACATAATTATTGTTACATCATAGTACTCCCCTATTTTTTATTAATACAAAACAAGCTCACTTTACTGTAATGTGCATATTAATTTATAATTCACAGTGTCATCTGGAAAAGTCACTAGGAAAACAGCACTCAGAATGGCTTCCTGTATTAGTCTTAAAAAATCATTTATCTTAATTATGGAATCCAGAGTTGTTTTAAAATTTATGGATTTGATCTACTATACAGTAAAACATGCGTGACAGTCAAGGATTACAATGTTTCAAGTGAATTTAAAGTGATAGCACCAATAGCTAATGAGATGACATATAAATTCAAGGATGAGCATTGTAACCTTGTAAATTGTATTATTTACTAACTCTAAATAACTACTAGTTATTTATTTGTTAACTATTTTGGCTGGAAAAAGTAAAACCATTATTTCTTGTTCGCAATTACTTACTTACTGTTTACTTCTTGTTTTCAATTGAAATTTCCTCTTGTTGTTAACTATTAATCTAACACAATTTAATTTCTGGATCTGCTTGATTTAGCAAAATGGTCATTCTTCTTTTCTCTCTTTAGAAATTCTGGCTCTTTCTACGGTAGAGCCAAATAATACTATCTATTATGATTGAAGGAGCTCTGTGGGATGATGAATGTAAGAAACAGTGTTAGGTTTTGCAAGTACTTTCTGTTCAGAGCAGGATGACAAATGCTGGCAAGGCCATCTTGTTTTACAGATTTGTGTGTTTTTTGCCAACTTGTCATATATTTGATGAGCAACCCATTTTTGTTTATCATAACTAGAACATTCCACAGTTTAAAAACATCAACATTAAATGACATATCTATAAATGCTTAAAATACAAAAAACTGTTGTTGGAAAAACTGGAAAGCTTTACAAAAATTGTTTAAAGATCAGCTTAATACCTCAAATTATTCACTTTTAAGCCAACAGGCCAAATTTTCCCTTCCAGAACACCAAAAAGAAACATCTCTAATCTCAGCAGCATCTGAATATCGCAAAGGCTCATGGCACATCACATTTGGCCCGCAGAGCAAAGCATTCCCCAAGGATTCTAGAATATTCCAGTGACATCACATGTTATTTTCACATCAAGTGTTTGAACAATTTTTCAACCAGACCACATCATCAGGGCAATTTGCTAATTTGGGTATTTCCTTTTAAACATGAAGTATTACCTTATACAATACAAACATCAGAGAAACCTTGCACATAAAAAATTAGTATGAAAGCCAGAAACATTTAAGTACTTGACAATATCTGTTTCATTCTCTGCATTAGCCAATGGCATATTCAGGATGCCATAAGTTACAAAGAATCATTTTAGATTATCAAGACTCATGGAGAAACATATTAAAAAGAAAACAGAACTAGACTAGAATTAAGGATTCCCAAATTCAAATTTGCATTTAAAATCAGACAGGGCATCATCACCTCTCACAATAATCTACCTCTCACTCAAAGCTATTATGAAGATTACTAGGAGGCAATAGGTGTAACATACCATGCATGTATTTATTGCCCATCTGCAATTTCATATAGGTAATTCTAGGTAGCCCAGAGATTAAAAAAAATATTTTAATACAAATGAAAATAAACATAATAGGAAAATGAAAGAGAAAGACAGAGAAAGAAAAAGTATAGGAGAAAGGGGAAAAAAGTATTGATTTCCAACTTTTTTCAGCTCAGTAGAATACAAAGTAAAATTATAGCCTCTACTTTTTACTTTTGCATATTTAGTAAATATTAGCCATTTCCATGGCATCAAAGTAATCTAAACAGCAAATCCCAAAATCAAGATTTCATTTTTTTTCTGTCTCGAGTTCACATATTGCCTAGCTACCGATCACATTGTCACTGCCAAAAGATAAAAACTAGGTCCAAAGTGTGACACTTCCCCTAAGTCATTTGTTAGGCCACAGGTAATTTTGGGTCAGTTGCATGCTAGCCATGAATTCCTCTGTGGAGGAGACACTACTCTGTGTCCTGCATCCAGGGTCACTAAATAAAGCCAGGTCACTAATAAAATTTCTATCGACCAAGAGTAATATACAGATTTCTCCAACTGAAGTCCTTAAAATTATATCATAATGCCTGCTCATGATAACAAATACCCAAATTAGTT